TTTTTTTAAAACAATTTATTAGGATATATTTAGACATATTAACAAACATTTATATTCATCACTACAACCCTAACCTATATCCTACCCCCCACCCTTCCCCCCTCAATCGGCTTCCAGCAGTGCTCCGACCTCCAGCCCCATCCCAAATATTCAATTTTTCTACAGGTAACAATTATTCAAAATACAATCTAGTTATTCTTATTGTACCATTTTTCAATAATTATCAAAACAAAACAAGGTATATTTCACGTCTCTATTTTTTTCCAAATATTCTTTTAGATCTTTCCAGTCCTCAAAGAAATCTTCTGCCTCCATATCTTTTAACTTCCGTGTCATTTTGTCCATTTCTACTAAAAAAAGTAATTTTCTTATCCAATCATTAACTTCTGGTATCTGCTCTTGCTTCCAATACTGGGCATATGTCATTCTTGCAGCAGTTATCATATACCACATTAAAGTTCTTTTCGCTATGTTAACTTCTTCCATTTTCAGTCCCAATAGAAGAATTTCTGGTTCTTTTTTAAACTTACATTTTGTAATTTTCTCCATTTCAGCGTGTATCTCAGCCCAAAAGTTCTTAGCTTTATCACAAGTCCACCACATGTGGTAGAATGAGCCTTCCGTTTTTTTACATTTCCAACATTTACTAGACATATTGGTATTCATATTGGCAATCTTTTTAGGTGTAATGTACCATCTGTACATCATCTTATAACAATTTTCTTTTAAGTTAATACAAGTTGACAATTTTAATGCTTTTTTCCATAAAAATTCCCATGATGACATTGTTATTTCTTTATTCATATTAATAGCCCATTTTACCATTTGTTCTTTTACCACCTCATCTTCAGTATACCATTGTAGCAAGACTTTATACACCTTTGAAATTACTTTTTTCTCCCCTTCACACCATACCCTCTCTATTTCATTCATTTTTTCTCTAAAGCCATATAGTTTTTTGTCTTTCTTTAAAAAATCATTTATTTGTCTATACTGAAGCCAACCATGTTTAACAGATATTTTTTCTTGTTCCTTCATTACAAAATTTCCCCCCTCAATTTTCAACAAATCTCTATATTGTACCCAATTTTCCCCTTTGTAAACAGTGAATGGTGTTATAACTTCCGCAGGAACAATCCAAATAGGTCTCTCATCCGAAAAGTACCTCTTGTACTTATTCCATGTATCATATAAATTCCTCCTAATATAATGGTGCTTAAAGAAACCATCAACTTTCTGTTTATCATACCACATGTACGTATGCCAACCAAATTTACAATCATGTCCTTCCAATGCTAAAAGTTTTATGTTACTAAGTGTAACCCATTGTTGCAACCATGTCAGACAAACCGCCTCATGGCACAATCTAAAGTTCGGCAGTTGAAAACCCACTCTATCTCTCGCATCTTGTAAAAAATTTTGTTTAATTCTGGGTTTTCTTCCTGCCCATACAAATTTAGAGATCTCTTTTTGCCACCTTTGAAAAAAATTTTCCTCTTTAACAATTGGGATAGCTTGAAACAAAAACATCAATCTTGGTAGTACATTCATTTTAACTACTGAAATTCTTCCCATCAATGACAAGTTCAATGTATTCCATTTCTCAATATCTTGTTGAATTTTTGCCCAAAGTTTTTCATAATTATTTTTATATAAATCCAGATTTTTCATTGTTACGTCTACTCCCAAATATTTAGTTTTTTTCACCACTTCACATTGAGTTATATCCTGTAAGTCCTTTCTTCTCTTTTCTGACATATTCTTACACAATATTTTTGATTTTTCTTTGTTTAAATAGAAACCCGCTAGATCGCCAAATTCTTTTATTTTATCCAGCAGTATTGGCATTTTTTCCAAGGGTTCTTCAATGATAAACATTACATCGTCTGCAAAAGCTCTATACTTATATGAAAAACCCTTAATGTTTAAACCTTGTATCTTTTTATCTTGTTTGATTTGTTTCAATAGAACCTCTAAAATCCAAATAAACAGTAAAGGGGACAACGGACATCCTTGTCTTGTCCCCTTTTGTACGTTAAAAGGTTCGGTCAGTTCCATATTTACAATCAATGCTGCTTTCTGCTTTGTATAAATAGCCTCAATACAGTTTTTAAAATATTCTCCAACCTCCAGTTTTTCCAAAACCAAATACATAAAGTCCCAATTCAGGTTATCAAAAGCTTATTCTGCGTCTGCAAAAAGGAAAGCTACTTCTTTTTCTGGATGTTTTTCATAGTACTCAAATAGCATCAATCACAACTCTCATATTATCCCCAATTTGTCTGTTGGGCAAAAAGCCAGCCTGATCTTCGTCTATCACTTTTGACAAATACACTTTAAGTCTTTCCGAAATGATTTTGGCAAACAATTTGTAATCCGTGTTTAGAAGAGAAATTGGGCGGTAATTTTTAACTTTCGTTAAGTCCTGAGACTCTTTTGGTATAAGCGAAATGTTTGCTTCTTCCCAAGATGCAGGTATCTTTTTTGTTTCTCTTATGTCGTTCATCAGAAGTTGTAATTTTGGGGTCAGCTCCATCTTCAATTTTTTATAATATTTCACTGTATAACCATCCGAGCCTGGAGCTTTGCCCAACTTAGCCTCCGATATTGCCATATCCACTTCTTCTTTGGTAATTGGGTTTAGCAAGTCTTTACTTTCTGCCGGTACATTTTCCATTTGAATTCTTTCCAAATATTTCTTAATTTTCTCTTTATTTTTCTCTTCGCAAACAAATTCACATAGTACTTAAAAAATTCTCTTTTTATTGCTCTATTATCTGTAATTTCTATACTTCGTTCCACAATCTTCGTAATAAATTTATTTTCTCTCCTCTTTTTCAATTGCCATGCCAAATATTTTCCTGGTTTATTAGCCCCTTCAAAAGATTTTTGCTATAGTTTCTTCAAGTTCCAATAAATTTCTTGGTTCAAAATTGCACCCAGTTGTTCTCTCAAAATATATAGATCTTTTATTATTTTCTTCTTTCCTGGTCTTTTTTTTTCAATTCTTTCTCTTTTAACTTAATCTTTTCTAAGATTTCAGCTTGTAGTGCCTGCTTCTTTTTCTTTTCTTTAGTATTCAGAGAAATCAGTAATCCTCTCATTACCACTTTATATGTGTCCCATGCAGTTTGAACAGGCTGTTGGATCCCCAAGCATCGAGAATAAATCCACGTTTTCAAGAAAAGCAAAATTTATTTCAAAGCGTTGAAGACATACTCAAACACGTTCTTTGTTAGAACTGGGGATACACAGTTAGGTCAAGCATAATAAAGGAACTTCAAACAGATACAGATCCAATGAATAGCTTTCCCGCTGGCGGGCTAATGAAACGGTTGCGCGCCCAGTCCATGGGAACCAGGCAGAACATCAGACAAAACACAGGTGCAGTATTCATGGGAAAAGCAATAGGCAAGCGTTACAGCACCTTCTCCCCCACACAACCTCCAGCAGTTATCTTTTGCATTCCAACGCAGGAGCAGGATGATAGAAACCAAGCCGGGTGCAACAGGGAAAGGATATGTACACAGAGGTCACAGAACACAGAATGGCAGCTTGCTGACACAGGCATGTCTGGGGTTAAATTTACTTGGAAAAAGCTTTCTGTTTCTTTCTTCAAGGTGTCTAAAACTTCTTTTTGATCTAGCAAGTCCTCATTTAATCTCCATCTTGGTGTTCTGTATCCTTCCTTAATACTCCACAAAATAGGGTTATGATCTGAATGGATCCTTGGAAGAGTTTCAGATTTTTTTGTCTTCAATACTAAGTCTTCTGTCGCCCACATCATGTCAATTCTTGAAAAAGAGTCATGTCTATTTGAAAAGTAGGTAAAGTCTTTCGTTGTTGGGTTTAGAGTTCTCCACACATCTTGCAGTTTTTCTTGTTCAATCAATTTAAAGAAAGTCTTAGGTAGTTTACCGATTTTCTCTTTGTTTTTCTTCGTTTGCCTATCAATTTTATTATTGACTGTCCCATTAAAGTCTCCTGCCAAAACAATTTGTTCATATGTAACTTGGTCCAGTTCTTGCGTCAATTCCTGAAAAAACTTGTCTTTTGCTCCATTAGGTGCGTAAATGTTAACAATAAGTAGTTTTTTCTGTTGCAAATTCACCTCCACCGCTATGTATCTTCCTTCTTTATCTTTAAATATTTCTTTAGGCTCCAATTCTGGTTTTACATATATCACCGTTCCTTTTTTCTTTTTTCTTATAAGTGAAGAGAACACTTGACCCAATTTGACAGCTTCAAGGTATTTACAGTCTTGATTTCTAATATGAGTCTCTTGTAAACAAATCACACTACATTTTTGTTTAGCCAACAGATGTTTTGTAGTCCTTTTATTAGGGGAATTAATCCCATTGACATTCCACGATATAACCTTGTGCTCCATCATGCTTCTTGTTCCTTATCACCAAAGTCTTTATTATTTGCATACATAAATTCCACCATCTGTCCCGAACTCTTAATGGTATGCCTTTGACTCTGATACTCGAAACTCAGACCTTGTGGGAGTTCCCATCTGTATCTAATCTTCAATGCTCTCAGTTTCTCAGTTAGTTTTTTGTACTTTTTCCGATCTTGCAACACAGCTCTAGGGAGCTCCTTCATCACCATTATCTTGGTTCCCTCCATTTCAAATGGTTCAACAAACTGTTTCCTCATTATTATCTCATGCATCCACTTGGTCAGCAATTGTACTATTGTGCAATCGCCGAGTTAACTCTGTAGATTATGTCAAAATGATATTCTATGTCATCTGCATCATCTTTCAAATAATCAGCAAAGGCTTTAATTACTCTGTTTCTTATATCATCTTTTAGTTCTTCTTTAATACCTCTCAGCCTGATGTGGGTCTGCATAGTTCTACAATCTGCCATAACCTCCAATCTCTTATTTTCTTTAACCACTGTATCCACATTTAGATCTACGTCTTGCATTTTCTGCTCAATTTCAGAAGATTTCTGTGAGATATTCTGCATTTCCTTTTTCAGTTCTCCTACTTCTTTCTCCAGGATCGCTCCCACCTCTTTCTGCATCTCTATCAGCGACTCCTTCACCTGTTTGCCCATTTCTTGAATAGCATCAGTCATTCTTTCTTCCATTGCCTCCATGGCCGCTTGTAGTTCCTTCTCTTTCTTTCTCTTTCCACACTCGGAACACTCAAACGTTTGCTCCCCTGCAATGCTCCCCCCAAGCTGTGGAGCCTTGTGAGCAAAAATTCTACTTTGGGAGCTACTAGCATTAAAGCTGGGATCGAGCGATCTGGCTGCTGCATAAATGAGTTTGCTCTGGAGCCATCCTTCCCGAGCTGAGACGAAAATGTCTGAGCCAGAGGCTAAAAAACTGAGCTAGCTCACACCAACTCAGCTTAGAGGGAACACTGCTCCCCTCTGGCTTCTCTGATGCTGTTGAAGAGAGCCACTCTGACTGAATCTCTTCCCACACTCTGAGCATTAAAAAGGTTTTCCCCCGGTGTGGGTTCTCTGATGCAGTTGAAGACTGCTACTCTGACTGAATCTCTTTCCACACTCTAAGCATCCAAAAGGTTTCTCCCCTGTGTGAGTTCTTCGATGTAGTTGAAGACTGTCACTCTGACTGAATCTCTTTCCACACTCTGAGCACTCAAAAGGTTTTTCCCCTGTGTGGGTTCTGTGATGCTGTTGAAGGCTGCAACTCCGACTGAATCTCTTTCCACACTCTGAGCACTCAAAAGGTTTTTCCCCTGTGTGGGTTCTGTGATGCTGTTGAAGGCTGCAACTCCGACTGAATCTCTTTCCACACTCTGAGCACTCAAAAGGTTTTTCCCCTGTGTGGGTTCTGTGATGCTGTTGAAGGCTGCAACTCCGACTGAATCTCTTTCCACACTCTGAGCACTCAAAAGGTTTCTCCCCTGTGTGGGTTCTCTGATGCTGTTGAAGAGTGACACTCTGACTGAATCTCTTTCCACACTCTGAGCATTTAAAAGGTTTTTCCCCGGTGTGGGTTCTCTGATGCAGTTGAAGACTGCTACTCTGACTGAATCTCTTTCCACACTCTAAGCATCCAAAAGGTTTCTCCCCTGTGTGGGTTCTTCGATGTAGTTGAAGACTGTCATTCCGACTGAATCTCTTTCCACACTCTGAGCACTCAAAAGGTTTTTCCCCTGTGTGGGTTCGTCGATGCTTTTGAAGACTGCCGCTGTCACTGAATCTCTTTCCACACTCTGAGCATTCAAAAAGTTTCTCCCCTGTATGGGTTCTCTGATGCCGTTGAAGAATGCCACTCTGACTGAATCTCTTTCCACACTCTGAGCACTCAAAAGGTTTCTCCCTTGTGTGGGTTCTCTGATGCAGCTGAAGATGGCCACTCTGACTGATTCTCCTTCTGCACGCTAAACATTTGAAAGATTTCTTCCCTTTGTGGGTTGTCAGATGCCTTTGAAGATTCCCACTCTCAGTGCATCTCTTTCCACACTCTGAACATTCAAAAAGTTTCTTCGCTCTGTGGGTTCTCTGATAGCATTTAAGATTCCCCCTCACAACGAGTCTTTTTTCACACCAGATAGATTTTCTTTCCTTCATTGTCCTGTGCTTTGGAATCTGTACATTATGCTGTCCTCCATGTCTCTTCTCAACCATATGGACGCCTTTCTTCCCCATCGGTCCACCTTGATTCCTGATGTTTTCTTTAAAATCTTCATTTTTAACTTTATCTGGCATTTGCTGATGAAGTTCTGCATCCTCCTCATTCCTCCATTCGTCCTCTGCTGGAAAAAATACAGTGATCCTGTTAGCACTTGGGAGGGCCGGCAGGGTGCAAAGGCATCTATGTGACTGCAGTAGATAAGGACTGATGGCCCTTTGGCCTTGTCCAGCTTGGCTGATCTTAACCACACCTCCCTTTTTACCCAGAATATCTAGTGATTAAGGATACCTCACCCCCTCGAGTGCAACAGCTGAGCTCTTGCCCACAAGGACATTCTGAGCCGCCAGATTTCAGGCCCTCCCCCAAGGCACTTCTTTGCCTTTTCCCTTGACATAACCGTGAAGGATACTCACTCTCAGCCAGCTCAGTAGGGAAGGAAATGTGCTCTTGGGATCCTCTTGAGGAAATCGTCAGCCTTTCTTCGGCTGTAAGGCCGTTGTCTGTTTCCGCCACAGTCTCTCTTATATTCCTGCCTTTGTTCACAGAGAGAAAGAGAGAGAGAGGGTGCTCATTCTTCTATGGGGAAGGAACAAAAGTAAAAATTCCTCTGGAAGGATGAAACCATGGTCAAGATCAAAGTCCACCATCCCAACCAGTATAAGGGGGAACAGATCTGTGAGACGAAACATCCTAGTACCCCACAGGTTTACATGATTATTAAGTGGCCTACTCTGAGTTGCTGGTGTCTGAGGGGCGGTTCCCAGGGGCACTCAAGGAAGCAATGGTCCGCCCTGTCCTGAAAAAAACAACTCTGGACCCGGCCGAATTGGCCAACTATCGGCCGGTTTCCAATATGCCCTACTTGGGCAAATTAATTGAGAGGGCGGTGGCGATACAGCTACAGGGCTACCTGAAGCATGCTTCCATCTTAGACCCCCCCCCCCAAATCAGGAAAAATATATCCTAATCCAAATTTTACCGACATTTTTTTGCACACCCCTTATATGCTGCAACAAGAGGTGCCATCTAATACCACATATTTCATGCACTAGATAGAACAGTTTGGTTTCCTCAGCTTTCTGTAGCTGAGCTGCAGCAACATTGCTGTTTAGTGATGTTTTATTTTAAAATCGTTAATAAGCCTTTATCTCTGCCTTGGGTGATGGCCACAGCTCTGGCCTCTGTTGCTCCTGGGCAAGTACACACACATGAACAACACATGAAGCCGAGTTATACAGAATCACACCCTTGGTCCATTGAAGTTTGGTGTAGTGGTTAAGTGCGCGGACTCTAATCTGGGAGA